GGACATCTATGGAAAAAGGCAAAAAGTCAAAGAACTACAGATTCCAGAATGCCATGGAACTAGGATGTTTAGAGGCTGAGTGGAGGGAATGCTGGGTTCTGTGGGCTCTGCTCAGGTAGCCAGGAGGGAATCCCATCGTCCATGTATACCAAATTTTGCAAACCTCATGATATAACCTCACAAAGGCTGCACAACCAACAAAGTGTCCCTCAGAAGCCCCAACCTAAGCATATCCAATCTAAAGCACAGAACTCCCTTACAAGTAGTCTCAGGGCCATACAATCCCAGGACCTGTACCCCCAGGAGGCTCACAGCTCCAGTAATCACTATCCCAGTGAGACGCCATCCAGTAAAGCACAAACCCATTCATCCAAATTCCCGCAGATGCAGAAGATAGTCATGCATGACCTGTGCTAAATCAGTGTACCCATCCCCTCACCTACAAACTCACTAGCTGCGTTTGTGCTGCCCCAGACCCATCTCAAGCGTTCTCGGAGGACACTGATCTCCAGCATCTTAAACCCCCTTAGTCTAACCAGAGCAGTCGAGGGCTGCACTTTCTTCCTGCTCTCACCTCTGTGTGGAGCTCGGCCCCTTACTTCCACTTCCTTGAGCCCCCCTCCCCTGCCCTCAGGAAGAAGCCCAGCCCCCTCTCCCATGGTGGTGGGAACCATGCCCCTTCAATCTAGCTCCTCTCCATCTTCCTCCACCTCTGTGAGAGGGTCTTGCTCCCTAACCCCTCGTTCTTGGAAGGTCCTGCTCCCTCCTCCATCTCTGCCAGGGGCCGCCGCCTCTCCACCTCTTTAAGTCTCTGATCCCACTTCGCCCGGTCATTTGAGGGGTCCGGCCCCTCCCTCCCATCCTCATACCTGGCGACAGCGACCCAGTCACCAGCTGGTAGAGGGATCGGGCTGCCTGGCCCAGCGGGCTCCGGCACCTGCGGGGGCATCGGTTCATGGTTCGCCTGCGAGCTCGCTGGCCACGCTCCGCCCCTTCGGCCCAGGCGGTCAGGTCTCCGCCCCCACGCATGGCCCTGAGTGGGCGGGGCTGGAGGGCGGGACGCCTCCCCCCCGGCTCTTCTGGGGTCACTCGTTGTGGCCCCATCATTTGAAACACCCGCGCTCAAAGTTCCCAGACACGAGTGGGAGGCACAGAAGTGGGGGGACTCTTCACAGCCTTCTCTACTTTCCTGGATTTCTGATGGAGAAGGGGTGCAGATACAGGATTTGAAGAAAGGAGCTGTGAGGAGAAAAAACATTTATTTCTTGCCCCTCATCAATCCCTCTTCAGACTGTTGCTTCTCCCGCCCACCTAGATCCGAAGGGGTAAAAGGACACAGTTGTCATGGCAACCCTTTCACACTTCTATACTTCCTAGACCAACAGGAGAGAAAGCAGGAGGCGGAGGACAGGCCACTGTACTGGCGTGGCAGAGGAGAGGCAGCTGGGACGCGTCCTCCTCGTTTGTCTCCCGGCTCCAAATCTCTTTCCTAACAGTTTCTGTTTGTCCCTTTCTGCTCCAGTCCAGCAGATTCACGGACCCTGCCATCACGGGCTGGCTGCCAGCCAAATGCACAGAGATGCCCCTCACTCTCAGTCTTCCCATCTACTCTGCCCCTTTTCCCAGGCTCATCACTGTCTGGTGAGACCTAAAGTAACCTTTCCAGGACCCTCTAACTTCTTCATACTCCTGGGAGGGCCTGCATGAGAGGGGACAAAGCCCCATTCCCCTAACGAGGATCCCTCATTTTTTGGCTGAAAACTACATTTGCCAGGCGGAAGTCACTCCAGCTCCACCCAGATCTTGCCCTCTGCACTTGGGCTCGTCCCCGCGAGTCGTCCTGTTAGCCACACGAGGGCGCCCCAGTCCTGGACACGAGACTTAAGACCAGAGACCAGATTCCAGGGTTACTCGCTCCTCTCCTCCTTTGCCTGGTGACCCCCACTCAGTCCAGGCCAGCTTGGCCTTTTTCCTGCTTCCATTTGGGATAGGGCTGGCACTGACTGCTGCTGCATTCTCCCTGCTTCGTTCCACTGCCAAAAGACCTGCTCAGGGGGCTGGGAAAACTGGAGGCGATGGGTGGAGGGAGGGAGGAAAGAAATTCGGACTTTCTCTTGTACAAAGGCCTCTCCAGATTTTGTTAAAGCTTGGGGTTGGAGTAGTGGAGGGAAGAAGCCAGGGGAACCAGAATGCCCTTCCTGTCCATCTGATGGACCGAGATGAGGAGAGTTGGAGCTGGCTTCTGGCTCCAGCCGGAACATTCCACTTGCATTAGGCAGGAACAGAGCGAAACTTTGGGAACTCAGAAGGCACCATAGACAATGATTCCTTGTGCTGTTGCTAGTGACCTTTAAGCACAAGAAAACGAAACACTGTTTGGTCCTGAACGATCCTCACAATGGTTACTATGTTTTGAGCCCACTGTGCCAATTCATAGCCTTGTGAGTCCTCCTCTCTTACAGACCCTCTACCAAGCATGATGTCTTTTTCTGCGGAGAGGTCCCTCCTGATAACATGTCCAAAGCATATGACACAAAGCCTTGCTTCTAAGGAGCTTTCTAGCTAAACTTCTTCCAAGAAAACTTTGTTCATTTTACTGGCAGGTCAAGGAATATTTCATATTCTTTGTCAAAGTCATAATACAAAATTTAATTCTTCTTAATTTAATTCTTATTCATAGTCCACTTTGCACATGCATATGAAGTAGCTGAAAATATCATGACTTGGATCAGGCACATCTTAATCCTCAAAGTGACTTTTTTTGCTTTTTAACACCCTCAGGAGGTCTTTTTAGCATAATTGCCCAGTGCAACAGCGGTGACTTGATTTCTTGACTGCTGCTGCATCCTTTCGGAAAGTCACAAAGCCTGGATGTGCTTCAGCACCATGGACAGCGACACCTAGTCGGCCCAAGCCATTCCTTTTACAGCTCTCTGAACACAACCCAACTTGGCCCAGGAATGTTAGTTTATTTTGGTGTCTCAGCCTCATTGTCTCCCACTACTAGATACACCCTCTGAGGAAAGGAAGGCCCCTGGTATTTTCTCTTTTCCAAGTCGTGTGTGGAGCTAGGCAAGGATGCGAATCAATGTACAGTAATTCTTGAGTCTTGCTAATTTTGACCCTTTCCATTTCCCTTAGGAGCAGGCCATTTTAGGTATCAGAAAAGTGTGGCTCAGCAAGGGGAAAAAAAAGTCACCCAGAGCTGATACAGTCCCATTCCCAACATTTGAAGTCTTTCCTATTCAGAATGGCTTACTCACCCTCACCCCAAGGTGCTGATTCCAATAAAGGGGAGAATCAATTAAAGCAGGAAAGAAACATGGACTAATGAGGACCCTGGGGGGCCTCAATACTCTCAGGGCTCCTGTGCCAATGATGGGAACAGAATTCATAGCGGGGCTGGACACCTGGAGCTCTTCTTCTAAGTTGAGACACTTAGATCTGCTCTCTTTCCTACCTAAGGACAGAGCTCTCCTTTCTGAGGGTTTTTGCATAGTTACTAGGAACTCCTTAGGGAGGGGAGACACTCAGGTCTTTGGGAACTATATCCTAGTCCCTTCCTCCATCTCCAAGTTTTAATTAACCTCACTCTCTTATGTCTTATGGAAGGACAAGGACCACAGTGTCTTCCCCCACACCTCTCTGTTTCACAGACGGGGGAGATAAGTGTCCCTTCTTTCTTGCTGGAGTTTTTGGGCAGACTGCACAACACAAACACACAGACATGGAAACGGATACAACATAACACAATCACCTACAAAGAGTTCCTGCCAAACCCAGGAAAAGACACATGCACAGTTTATAGGTCTAACATACTTTTTCCGCAGAGGAAAAAGGATGCCAACACAGCAAAGTGGTTTGGGGGCACATATGGGGAAGCAACAAGGCACCTCCTCCAGGCTTAGAGCTATCTCGATCTGGAGAGGGGGTAAAAAAATGTTTTCTTCAGCCAGGGGGTGAAGTTCTGAAAACGTTGTGGGGGTTTAAGGGTTGAAAGGGTTTTACAAAAATGATTTTTGAGTACTTTTTTGGGGGGAGGGGTGACTCATTCCTAACTAAAGCCACTCATAGGAGCCAGGTGCTAGACTGTAGGGTACTCCAGGAGTTAGACTGGGCAGCTGGACACTAGATCCCCTTCCTTGGCCCCATCTTAGGTGAAAAGCTTAGGTAAGCAGTGGGTTTCACTAAAGATACCGCCACCCCTTCTGCACCAGGAAGCCAGAGAGGCAGCAAGCATAAGACACATCATCGACACAGATATCACCACAGTAATGTATATAGATTAACATCTAATATCTAATCCCAATACAACCCACACAGTCTCATAAACACAAAACACAACACAACACATCTTAGCAGAAGCTCAAGCCAGGAGATTCTACACATAATAAAGTCTTAACAAAGAGAAGCATCACCTTTAATTCAAGCTTTGACACACTGTGGTAGTCATATGCCACTTCATACAGAATCAATCACACACTTAGTTGCATATAGTTGCGCATACAACAGAGACACACGGATGAAACAACTACATCACATCAGACAGGATTCTACACAACTCTTACAACATCCTACAAGCACACACACACACACTCTCTCTCTCTCACACACACACACACACACACTCATTTGCTCTGGCTGTCACCAAGGCCAGGGCACAAGGCAAGCAGACAGTGGCATTCGTAGACACTAAGACACATAGACACACACAAAGAGCGACAGGCACTCAAGCACGTAACACCTCCCACTTCAGACACCCTTCTAGCCCAGTGTCACATATGCCCACACCTGCTGCCTCTCCCCACCTGCCACCCCCCCCCCCACTGAACCAAGGCTTGAACCCAGTGTCCTGCTGCCCAGTCCAGTCCAGAGGGTGTCTAGGGATGGGACAGAGTGGGTGTGAGGGAGCAGGTGGGCCAGACTGAAAGGCATAAGGAGGGTCTGGGGGAGATGGAATCCACCTTCCCTCCCACGACGCCCCCCAGCCACCAACTTACCCGTGAGCTGGTCGTAGGAGCCGTCCAGGTCGCGGGATTCGGACAAACTCTCCTTGCGGCCCTGGCCCCGCATGGCCCCCGGCGACCCCCTCCGTCCCGCCCGGGCCGGGGGAGGGGGTGCCGGGCAGCCGGGGAGGGCGCTCACACGGCGCCCCCTGGTGGCGCAGGCCGGCCCGGGAGACTGGGGCTGGGGCGCCGAGTCGGCCGGCTGCGTCCGGGGCCCCTTCCGAGAGTCCTGGGCTGGAGAGCCAGGCGGGGCGGCCGTCGCGGCCCGGTGCCGAGCGGAGCGGAGCTCAAGCGAGCAAGCCGCCTCTCCTCCGCCCCCTCCCCGCGGCTGTCAGCGCTGCTCCCCCTTCGGCACTGCCAGGATTGGCTCCCCCTACCCCGCCCCCTTGCAGCTCGGGGGAGGCACCCAGGCAAGGAGTGAGAGGGGAGTGCGGGGAGGGGGCTGCTGCTCCAGCAACACCGCCCCCTGCACCTCAAGCCCGGGGTGGGGAGGTGGGCTTCCGAGTGGGGATCCCCCTCCTCCACGGCCAGCGCGGTTCTGGCCCAGTCTCTGCCCGGTTTGCCTCTCAGCCCTCTGCTGTCGCTGCGCCACCCCGCCTGCGGTTCCTCCTTCCTTCTGTGTTTTCACCGCTGTGGCCCCGTCGGTTTCCCCTTCTGCTCGAATGGGACTTGAGGTGCGGAGGAAAAAGCCACCCTAGTCTCTAAGAAGGGCTTTTCTCAACCAAGTGGATTGTGATTTCCTATCAAGTTCCTGAGCCCTAGTCACTTTTGGGGTGCCTCCTTCCCTTCCTGGATTGCCCCAACTAGCCAAGTAGGAGGCAAAGAAAATAACCAAACAGGTCAGTTTCTTTAAGACTTTCCTACTTCTTCCCTTCCTCCCTCTTTCAACTTTCCTGCTGGTCTCTCTTCTGTCACCTACCCTCTCCTAGATGCCTTCTGTTTACCAACAGGTTTGGGAGAGCAACTGAAGAAGAGTGGTGGGATCACAGAGCAGGGGTTACAAGGTCCCTTGCTGGGAAGCCCCTTCCTCAAGAGCAATTCTTCAGAAGTCTGGAGAGAACACAGGGCTGGGCTACCCCTGGCACCCACTCCGGCTACTGCATGGCCCAGTCTCACTTGATGGTTCCTGGGTTCAGGCTGGGAGGCCTGGTGGGTCTGGGTGGGATGGTGGTAGTGTCCCAGATAACCCTGCCTGGCCAGCAACTCCTCTGGAGGAGTGACTTACAGAGCCCTAAGACTTCAGCTAGATTGACCTCAGCACATTTAATCTCTTCAATTGGATTCAATTTCAAACCACTTGATTTAATTAACCCAGCAGGAATTGTGGTAGTTTAGGAATTGGGGGGCAAGCAGCAGAGAGGAGGTCTGTCTTTCTGAAGCTGTGTTCTGCCCTGATCTCTCAGAGGATCCCGCACAGCCGCTGGGGCAGGGCAGAGCAAGGGCAGGTCCTCTTTCTAGAAGAGAAAGGAGCAGCTCTTAGAATGAATACATGTGAGGAAATGGATCAAGAGATGGGCTTTTATGATGAGGGCAAGTAGTCTGCTGCTTACTGGCCCATGTCTTAGACTTGACCTTGGTAGGAATCCAGAAGTCACCCAAATGGGCTGGGTGGCCTCCTTACCACCACTAAGCTGGGAGAGCAGGAAACTCCCATCTGTCTCTTTCCATCCTGAAGGCTACAAGTCTCTGAACTGAATTCATCTCCACTAAAGTTAGGAGAGTCAGAGGAGCATCTGTAAGGACAGGCAGGGGTTCCATAGGCAGCTGGGACCAGCACCTAGGAGATTACCTTATCTGTCTTTGAGAAATGAGTTCTGGGCAACAGAGATAGAGGGGGGGGAGAAGAAAGACACTAAAAAGACTGTCCCATACAAATCAATTTTTAATAACTTCAACTTGCCCCCAGCTCCAGCTCCTCAGAAGTCTACCACTGTGGAAAATGTTAATTGCCCCAGGCTGGGCTATCCATCTTGTGATCACAGGTGACCCAGCCTTTGATTCTTACGTGTTTTTTCTATACACAGCAGCATATTGGTTTCTCTGGAACGAGGGTAGATCTGCTTAATGTCAGAGCCAGAAAGCTGGATTACAGAGAGGTGGGGGGAGGAAGGGAGAGACAAGTATCCCAAAGAAACTTGAGGCTAAGAGGAATAGCAGCAGGGAGATCTCCATCTGCTTTGATGAGTTCCTGTACTTACTCCCAGGTTCTTTCTGTGCTGCCTGCTCCCTGCGTTAGACTGAATTCTGAAAGAAACTTGGAGCAGCAGTCACTTCTGAGGCAGCTGTGGGATAGGGTCCCATGGAGACTATCCTAAAGAATCACAAGCAACTTCCTAAAGGTGGGGTTTGCCATGGCCCCAGCCAGAAGGAGGCAGGCCTGTAGATCAGTGGGTTGGTGATGCTCATCTGGCCCCTTTCAGATGGAGGGCACCCTCCCCCCCAATAGGCTTTCTCCCTCCCAGGCACCAGACCACAGCAGGAACGATTCCTCCCCAGAGGAAATTCTCAGGCAGGCTGGATGTAAACAACAGCCTGGTGAGGGGGTGGAACACGTGGAGGGGAGCTCAGGAGAGGCAGCAGAAGCTCCCAGAGGGGGTGGCCAGGGAGGTGGGGAAGCTGCAGGAAAGAGAATTAGCAAAGTAGGCACCTGAGAGCTCCAGAAAGCCTGTCAATGTTTATTTCACACACACCCTAAAGACAGTTTAAAACAGATTAAAAATGAACGCTAAGTTTGTGACCCTACTGTGCTGAGTGGATTGAAAGGGGAGTAAGTTAACAGGTGCTCCTGATAGCCAAAATGCAAACCGAGAAAGTGGTGGTCAGACAGTATTGGGAAGATTCTAAGCTCCAGTCTCCCAAAGAAAGCAGCTCTGGATTTAGAAAACAGAAAAAGGTGCTCCAGTCCTACCATACTCTAAGCCTGAGTTAGGGGTCCTACTGGCTGGACATAATGCCAGAAAAATCAGGGACACATGCCCGGCTCAGCCCCAGGCCCATAGGAAACGGGATGTGACTTCACCTTCATTTGAGAGTTGAACTGGTTTCAAAAGCCTGGAAAAGTCCTTGACTCTTCGTGGTCTTGGCATCACTGGGGCCCATCTTTCCAGTTTCTGAAAATTAGTCCAGGGCCACAACTTGTGAGGTCAACTGGAAATGTGAGGATGTGTACAGGTGCACACCCTGGAAACCTGCACATTCTTGGAGGCCTGCCTGTGCCCACCCTTCCCTCCCCAAATAAGATTATCCTTGGCTTGCCCCTCCTGGCCCCTGCTGTCCAAACTCCACTTAAAGTATGGCCTTCACAGAGAGAACTCAGGATCCGTGCTGTTCTCCAATCTTGGGGGTCGCTTTCTTTCTTCTCACTTCCCCTCCAGCCCAGGAGCCTCCGAGGTAAGGGAAGTCAGTGGTTGCTTGATAGGCATGGCTCAGGAAATGGTGGAGAACTCCTTGAGCAGAGCCTCTTGGCTGAGGGTGTGGAAGGCCAGGTTTCTCCTGACATTGGTGCTAATGGATCGAACCTGGGAAAGGGTTGGAAAGGAGGGAGGGCACAGGCAGAGAGACAAAGCGGAGAGTCAGTTACAAACAGCAGAGGGCAGTGCCTGGGGCACAGAACCAAGGTACAAAGCTAAAAGTTTGTCTCTTAGGAAATGAACCCTGGAGCAAATGAGCTCAATGTTCCAGGACAGCAGGAAGGGAGGAGGAGGACTGAGAGACAAATTCTAGTCAGTGCAAGAGGAGCAGCTGAGCTCCAGACGCAGGGGAAGGCCTAGACAAACAGGACAGGTCTTCATCCTTGTGTTGGCCATGCCGATGGGACGTTTGTCTGGATATGGGTCTGTGAAGGAGGGAAAAGTGAGGCAGGAGCCACCTGTTTTTATCCCAGAGGATTCATGCTCTGAGTCCACCTCTCTTTAGATCTATTTCTAGTCTCCTCATTGTAATTTTTCTGGTTGGAAGAAGTGCAGTCCAAAAAGGCCAATGCTCAGGAGCAAGATTCAAGTTTCCTAACTCCTATAGGGTCCAGCACTCCTTCCATGCCACAGATGTCTCCTTACTTCAGAGGGTCTGAGATAGACCTTGACTGTGTCCCCAGTGCTCACCTCATGCACTTTCTCTCCACACAGTGGAAGCCTTACAGGAAGCAGTGCTTATGTTAGCTGGGGGAAGACCCATAGGAAGGGGTCAGAGGCCAAATTCTGTTCTGAGTGGGTCCCAAGAGGGCTCTTAGCAGACTCTGGAAAGAGATTCACCCGTGGGAATATGTGTATGTTGTGTGAGGAGGGTGAGAGGAGGGGCAGATGAGAGAATGTTTCTCTGTTCTGGGCTCCATAATCCTGGGAGCGTTCCTTCAATTTCTGCTTTGCTGTGGAGACTTCAAGTCATCGGGCAGGGAGCAGAGGAAGTGCAGCATGGCAAACAGCAGGCAGCTGAGCTCCTTAGCTCCTAAGTGGACCAGACCTTCCGGCTCCCCTTGCCAGAGGTACAGTATGGGGAGAAATTGAGCAAGGCAGAACTGAGTAAGAACCTCAAGAAACAGCTTCTGTAACACGTTCACCCTCTTCACCTCTTAATAATGTTAATTCTTGGTTCCCAGTAACTCCCCCACATCAACTTAAAGCCTTGTCAACCAACTAAAAAAATACTCTACCTTGCTCTCTCCTTACACTAATGACTTCCTTATTCCCAGTTAATTCACCCAAGCATGCATTCCTCACTCTGCAGCAGCTGAAGCCCAAAATTCCAGGAATGTCATGCCAGGGTCAAAGTTGGGCTGTGTCTAGCACAGTGTAGACACAATCTGAAATACAGCATTTTCACCAAGGACTCAACACAGGAAAGTAAATGGGGGCCGGAGGCAGCTCTGCCCAGCAGAGGAAGGTCTGAAGCCATGGGAAGTGGGTACTAAAGCCTGTATGTCCTGGTCTCAGACCCTGGGCAGGGTGTTTGTGTATAACCAAGGAGGAGAGGGTAGGGTGACAGGGCTTTAGGAAAGCAGAGCTTTTCCTGAAAGCAGCTCAAGTAAAGGGCAGGAAAGGGACAATCAGTAGGGAAAGTCCAGTTCTATGGAGATGCTGGCTGGAGGCGGAGTAGGAGGCAGAGCAAATGATCACTGGCTCCAGATGGCCGAGGCTGGGGGCTGCTGGAAGCTGTGTGTCTGGGAGTGGGAGGAGGGGTAGGGAGTAAAAGGAAAGACTAAAGAACTCGACTGGGAGGGCACTTGAGACTAGAAGCCAGTTAGGAATTTATAAAGAAGTGATTGCGTAAGAAGGAAGAGAGTCGGTTATTCTCATTAGTTGCTCTGAGGAGAGGATGAGGAGTAATGAGCCAGAGCTGCCACTGGGAACACACGTCAAACCCCAGGCCCGGCTGGAACTGTGAAAAGGCTGTCTCCAGGGCTGCATAGGAGAGGTGGGTAAGGCTTCCCTGGGCTGCTCATCCTTCCCAGTCTAACATCAGTGCCCTTGGGAAGACTTTTCTCTTATGGCCTGGTCCTAAGCTGCTTTGGAAGAGAAGTCGCATATGATGAGATGCCCACCCATGCAGTAGAACTTGATGGCTATAAAAGCACTCCCAAGAGACAGAGGTAGAGATGTGGACTCACCAGCTCTTTGAAGAAGGCAGCCTCCTTGTGCTGCTCCGAGTAGCGCTCATATTGGTCCAGGCCATCCTGTAGCTTCAGTGTGAGCGTGTCATAGTTGGCTCTTACTACTTCCAGCACCTGGGGGAGATCAAGAACCAGGCAAGGCTTAGGCCATGTTAACTCCAGGCCACTCGATTCCATGCCATTCCAGGGTCAGTCAATCTAGGGTGACAGCCCTGAGGGTGCAGATGAATATATTCTGACTCATGGCAATCCAGTAGGATAGTGCAGACCTGTCCTATGGGGTTTTCTAGCGTGGAAACGGATCACCAGGGTTTTTCTCCTGAAGAGCCACTGACTGGGTTCAATCTGCTGACCTTTTGGTTAGCAGAAAAATACTTCAAAACTATACCACCAGAGTTCTTTGCTCCTACTCATCACCAAGGAAAAAACCTGGTCAAGGGGAGCAATTCTTTGGTTTCTAGAAATACTTTCTAATCTTCCCAATTCCCTGCATCTCCTGACCAGCCCAGCCTGGACACACAGAGTTTACTTGAGTCAGTAAAAAATCATGGGAAGAAGCAACGGAATAGAGTCTGAGCTCACCAGTGTCCCTGATACTATAAATGTGATCTGAGCCCAATCGTGAAGTGTTCTGTGGTCAGGTTGTCAGTAGGTGCGTCTGCTTCCTTCTCCCTCTCTGGGAACCACATTTCTTCAGTCCTGGGATGTTCCTGAGCCCCATCTGGCACTTGTCTTCATCTCTCATTGCCAAGCCAATCTTGGTCTTCTTTACAGTAAGGAACTTTTGGGCATCTTAGCCTCAAAATTTTCTAGACTAAGCCAGAAATCTCAGGTGTTCTGTTACAATGAGGAGTCTCTCTCTCATAAAGCCTCTCCCTGAATTTCTATAGGTGGAGGATTCAGACCTCCATAACTCTCTGAACCTTGGATATTAGTGGTTCCAGGAAAAAAAGGGCTATTATGTCCAGGCCTGATGAGACTGTGGCATAGAAGACCATGAATCAAGAGCTAGAACTGTTAGGGCAGAAAAGAAAGGAGAAAAGGGAATCTTCACTCTGGGAATATGGTGACAGCTATTTCACAACTTGATCTGCCTGGAGAGGAAACTATGACAAGATGCTGAGTTTCCCGATTGGTAGAGAGTTTGGGTAGATGAGGAAGGCTTAGCTCTGCCAGAAGATGGAAGGGAAGAGAATAAGCTGGTGTCAGTACAGGTCAGAGGGTCTGATGACAGGCTCGTGAGGGTGCCTCACGGTGGTTTCCCTCAGCAGTCCTGTGTTGTGCTAGGGCAAATTTCACTTGCTAGCAAACATTTCAGCCAACAATGCCCCAGAACAGGGCATTTCTGGGAAGCACAGAAAAGCCTTGTTTCCCTAATGGAGAGTTTCTGAGTTTGGAGGGGTAGGCAGAGCTAGGGCAAAGGCCTCACCCAGGCTGCTGGCTCAGGCTCCTTTTTCCTAGTCACCTAGCTATGCAAGGTCACTCGGCCTGGCTGTTTTTCACAGACCCTAGTACAGGCTGACTTTTCTACTTCTAATTCTATTTGTCAGGTCTGTAGGCAGGAAGAGCAGTACCCAGCAACAGCAGTCACCCACAAAGTAATCTGGCCCTTTGCTGCACGTGGGCTGCACTCGTGGCTGGAATATCTACAGCCAAGGTCTTGGCTCAGAAATGAATGGCTCAAGCCCAGAAAACTGCATAATTCCCTTCAAGATGTTACCAGCCCCCAGGGATGAGGCAGAATAGAATAATACATACTTTCCAAGGCTTGAAATCTGGCCAGTCTCAGGAATGCCTATGACCCAGCAACCTGGAGTCATCTTCACTGAGGTTGGTGCCAGATGCCAAAAGGCAAACTCCTGTAAAGCCAATTTCTGTAAAGAGATACAGAAGGAAACTGTACCTCTGACACATCCTGACAAGTTTCAGGCCTCAGGTAAGGCTGCCTTGCATCACCTGCCTCCTGGGCTCACTCTTCTTGCTTGGGCATAGAGCAGGATCTAAGATCTCATGCAGAGAGATTTTTCCAGGCTCCCAACCCTCCAAAAAGTCCAGTTTGCTTAAAGGGATGTGAAATCAGCAAAAGCCCTTCAGCTATTAGTTACCTGAAAGGAAATCATAGGTGTGGCTGGACATGGAGTGGACCTGACCTTGTGCAGATACTGCACACAGCCTTCCCTTTCTAATGGGTTTACTTCCTTTATTCCTATTTCACTCTGGGGCAAGCTGCTTGTCAGTTCCTCCAGCTTTCGTCTTTACCTGTCCTCACAGCTTCTCTTCAATGCTAAAGAGAGAAGACATTCTAAGTTCAGGTCTGGTTCTCACTCATCTGGGACTTCAGAACACTAGGGGTACTCGCCCAGTCTGGGACTTTGTTACTTACTAAAGGAACACTTTCCGAGCATGCCCCTGTTTGAATCTTACACACAGCCCTGGTATGGAACATAAAAAGGACATGGAATGGCACTTAGGTGGAAAGCTGTCTCCCAGAGGCCCTGTGCCTAAGCTTGGGCCTTGCCAAAATTCGCAGCTTCACTGTCTGGCTACCTGTTAACTGCAAAGGCCTCTCCCAGATTGGGATCCTTCTCCAGCTCTTTTCTCCAAGTACAAGCTACCTTCTTTTGTCATTTGCTTTCTCTGTAAGCTTCCTAGAATGAGGTCCACTACCACAGCCCAAGTGAGCTCCAAAGCCAATGAAGCACCTGTAAGTCACCCACTCTCTGAGGAACCCTTATATCTCTGTCTATGACATTCAGCAGAAAAGAACTTTGTGCAGCAAAAAACGTGCAAAAAAGGGAACTACGCTGGGAGCCCCACTCTTCCCACAACCTTAAATGGTTTACTTAACTTTTTTTGGGCTCAGCCATTCTCTCTATAAAATGCAACCTGAACTCAGCTTCCTAAAATAATGTAAGAATAACAGTTCTCCTGGGGCGGGCTGCCCTCGGCCCCCGGCTTGGGGCGAGCCGTCGCGGCCCTCTGCATGGGGCGGGCTGCCCTCATGGCCCTCTGCCTGGGGCGGGCCGTC